TGCTTTTCTTCCTGTTTTATAAGACAAAAAATCAATAATAATCTTTTGTCTAACTTTCACATACCACACATTATCAGTTTGACTAACTAACCAACAAAGAAAATGATACATAAGTATCAGGAAAACTAAATCAATCTGGTAATTCAACTTGTAACTGCTTTTTTATCTCTACAGTAAATTACTAATGATTCATATAACAGTTCCATTTGCATGTTCTATAAATGGCAATAATTAATAATATAAAAAACTTTATGCAATACACCAAACACCTGTCAAAAATGTATTGAAATATGAAAGCAAATAACTATACAAATATCAAGAGCAGGAAAGAACCACTTAACCCCTTGAATCCAGTTGCGTCACAGCAATCACATGGACGAAAGTATGGCCATTAGGTTACAAAAATGGCTGCTTTGCCGGGTGTGTGGCACGTAGGCCGGGCACACACAAACATTCATGTGTGGTGACAAGACTCTATGCACTTTGCCCAGCCCATGGCCCTCAACCCAAATTTTTTCATGACGTGATGGTCACGTTACCTGGATTGAAGAGGTTAAATATAATTTTTTTGAAATCTAAATATCTCAATAAATTAACCTCTATACCTTCATATCATTTCAGAAATAATGTTGGGTAGTTTTTCCCCTTCTCTTTGCAGTCTACATACACAAATTTCAATAAGCCATTCATTCAATAATTCAAGTATATATAACATGACTCAATGGAAATATTTTGTGGTTTGTTAATTTCTTTTTTTATGACACTACATATTACATGGTATCAATAATTCATATCATAAAAATTGAAAAATACAAGGGCTTTCTTTTAAAAATCAATCAACAATAGTACTTCTATATTTTGACTTCACAACATTCATAGTACTCTCCCTAGGTAATTCTCAACATGAGCATAATCTTCACCAAAAGATAACATCCTAAATAATTACACGAGCTTTAGCATGACATGCCAAGACTAACCTGAATATAAAAACATCCTCTCTTCTGCTTGTCAATATCAACATTTAGAAGACCATCAAAAAATTACTCCTCTAAAACTTAATGTCTTTACTAGCAAAAACACTTAAATATTCCTTCTTATTCACTTAATATTAATATAAAGATTTATAACTTTAGTCTCAAAGATTGCATTAGGCACTCTGTGTATGAGATTGTGGATATGGAAGGAAACAATGTGCTGTGGTGCATCTGTAATTCTTCTTTTATATATATATATGTGTGTGTGTGTGTGTGTGTGTGTGTGTGTGTGTGTGTGTGTGTGTGTGTGTGTGTGTGTGTGTGTGTGTGTGTGTGTGTGTGTGTGTGTGTGTGTGTGTGTGTGTGTGTGTGTGTGTGTGTGTGTGTGTGTGTGTGTGTGTGTGTGTGTGTGTGTGTGTGTGTGTGTGTGTGTGTATTTGTAATTTATTATTGTGAGTGCCTACCCTAGTAATCTGAAATATGTGCATCACAACTACAAATATAATTTGGAGGCAGTAAAACAACCCTCCCTAGGAGATCTTTGTAGCAATCTTGCTAGAAACAAGTTTATTTGTCCGGGCTGCATCTCTTTCAGCTTTGCGTCTCAGCTGTTCTTGTCTCCGCCTCTCCCTCTCGTACTGTCGTTTCTCTCGCAGGACAGCATCCAGATCTCCTTCATCAGCTTCCCCTTCCCAGCCTTCACTGTCCTCAACCCAGTCTTCTAGCTCTGATGACTGAAAGAAGAGGAGACATTTGCTCTTCCGAACTGGAACTTTGGACACAACTGTCCGTCTGATGTAATATTGCTTGGGTCCTCTTTACCAGTGGTTTGTTCAGATATAGCTAAAGGTCTAACACAATAATTCCATTTGAATACTTTAATTAAAGTATGATCTATTCTAACAATGTCTTTAATCATCATTATTGGAAAAAGAGTTCTCAATAAACAATAATAGATAGTAACTCAGTGACTTTTTCTGTCTAAGAATATCGAAAGACTATCTCCTAATCACTAGTTCTATTTCATTGTTCTATTCAAGAAAAAAATAATCACGAATATATGGTAACATAAATTAATAATGGACAGAGAAATCTCTAATCACAAAACAAAATTACATGTTACACAGACAGAAACCAAATTAGAGTAAAACAAAAAAAGTACAACATTACTTACCTGCAAAAGAGGGTCAGAAAGTGTAAAAGATAATCTATTGGATACTTGCTGTTCCTCCTCAGGCCGTTCCAGAATAACAACTTGAGGCTTTGCTTCTATACTTGGCGCAAGGTCCTGCAACAAGAAGACCAGTCATGAGATCCTTGAGCCTTAATATCCAGAATTTTCTTTACAATTGTGAAGCGCTAGATAGAATTGATGCCACTGTAAAAATAACAAATACTGGAAAAAAATTCACTCTGTTACACCAACACATATGTATGAAATACTCATCTTTCATTATTTGTTAAATAATGATCAGTCTTACTATCATTCACACCTGTACATACAATGTGATCTAGCCTGAGACCACTGGACATCCTCACTGGATTTCACCATACACAATTGTGTATAGGCTGATTGTGATCTGTTTCTGCAGATGTGATCTTGCCGTTTTGCCATTTTCCAAGGTCTGTCAATTGTTATGCTATATCAAGGTGATGATTGACTGCTTTTATTAAGCAGATTCCATGTCATCTGTCTTGGAAATTTACACTATGTGTATAAACAGTAGGACTAAGCCCTTTTATTTTTCTGTTAACCCTATGAATCTGGTTAACCCTATGAATCACATTGGTGAAAATAAAGCATTAGGTTATTTAAGTTGCTGCTCTTCCAGGTGTGTGGTGCGTTGGCTGGGCACAAATAAACAATCATGTGTGGCAACAAGACTCTATGCCTTCCATTTGCAAAGTTATTTTGCAAAATGTCTTCAGCTTTTTTGCTATTTTCCAATACCCATATTTATCTTCTGATTTATTTTATCCAGATGGTAATAGATTATTTTCCTTGCACAACCTCCATATTCTATGTAGCAAATAACTCAGTCCAAGAAAGAAAATGTAACATTTTCTTGTTTGTGGTACATATCTTTTAGTAATATTAAATTTTCTATAACACAACATGACATGAAGTGACCCACCCCATACAAATCTTACAGTCTACATAAAGTGATAAATGTTACAATAATGACCAGAAATATGTCATAAATCTGTTTATTTGCAATAGGACAAGAGATCTATAGAGAGAAGGGGGAAACTTGAGGAGCAGGAGGATGGATATCTGCAAATACTTCAAATGTAGAAGGAGTAGGAACAGAGAGATTGGGGGTTGGATGGGGGAGTGCAATGTTCCCTTGGGTCATCTTTTGAAAGTTTTGGATGTTTTCAAGAGTTTCTGGAGGGTAGTTGGGTGAAGAGGACTGAGAAACAAAAGTTCTCTTGTGAGGAGGAGGACGTGGCTGGATACAGGTTGAGGTGACATCCTGTGTGGGAGAATGAGGGAGGAGGTTGCCAGCTGTTCTTATTGTGGGTGGTTATCAGGTGGTTGATCCAAGACCAGTGGCCTCATTGTCCTCCAGGTAGGTGGGCTTCAGTTCAAAACCCAGTCACTGTAGCCCTCATGTTAAGGCAACAGGCCTCAACATTCCATTTGACGATAGCACATAGGACTTCTGTGGTCTTCATTCCTTACAATAATGTACTACATGAATGGAGTGATTTTGGCTGACGTTGATGATCATGCTTGAAGGTCTGCCTGCATCTCCAATAGTGTGTGAGAATCCAACAAGACTGGTGCCATAGGGGGTACAGCTTCACTGTAAGCCATTTCTACAGGAGAGACTAGGATTCCTTTCTTGGGCAAGCAGACTAGGATTCCTTTCTTGGGCAAGCAGGATACATGGAAATTGGGCTTTACAGTCAAGACCATTACAGTACACCATATGCACTAGGTGTTCTTGACCATCTTGCTGATTGCCAATTTGTATGATACAGCTCATGGACAGCTACCCCTACAAGATCCACAGGATGGATATCAAGGAGAGTCCTCAGCCATAGTGATGTTATCAGGGACACTAAGTGGCTGACTCAACCTCACAACAGGGCTTCACTTGGTTCTCTTCATAAGGATAACTTCAGACTAGTATGTAGAGCATTCATTAAGGCCAAACAGATATTGGGCACTATCTAAGGATAGCACATGGCCAAAGATGTCAACATGAAGATAACTGATGTGATGCTTTGTTTCTGGGAATCATCCTATTCTTGAATTATCTGGCAGGTAGGCCCCATGTCAGATGTCCTTCTATGTGAAACAAATTTTTGTGTGACAAGTCTGGTGAATGAGAGTAATTACAAATGTGACAGGACATTGATCAGGCTGAATACTCTTGTTTGAAAACTACCAAGCACTGACTCCATGCAGCAACTGAACACTGGAAAGGTGGTGCTATTGACAGGCAGACCAGGCATCACCAACTCTGGCAAAAGCATAAACCAGGGACCTGTTGTTCCTGTTGATGATGAAGGGAGTGCCTTCCTGGAGGAATTTGAATTGATGGATCACAAGGTAGACCATGGTGAACAAAAGTGCTGTACTTCACGTGGTGAAGTCTAGTGCTGAAGGTGTATGAGAGAGGCATAGTGTTGATGAATTGCTCTGACTGATCCAATAGCAAAACTGTTAGCATTCATGGTAAGAATATGAGGGGCACCAGAGTTTATAAAGGACTATGTTGACTTAAGTGTACCACTAGTGGCTACAAATGCACTTTGAAAGGTAAATGTCCCACTCAGCCACTTGAGTTTTCTTATGAGGTTATTGTAGAGGGGATCCCCCTGTGTTGACCATGTCTGGGAAGAAGTGATGGTAATATTTTACCCTACTGATAAGTTTTTGAAGTTGCTTGATTGTGAAAGGTGTCTGGAATTTCTTTACTGCCTACACAATGGAGGAACTAAAGAAAAATTCAGTGAAATACAAAACCAAGCCATTATTTCCAAGTAGTTGAAGGAGGCTCTGGATATGCTCAAGGTACAGTTTAACATTTTTGAAGAAACTTTGAAGGTCAACCACATTGCAAGCACAAGTGGGGGGTTTATTAAGGATAACATCCACAGCCACTGATAGGTTCCCCCTGAATTTTGCAGGCTAAAGGTGAAGTGAAAGAAATTGTAGATTCCAAGAGATAGAACATGTTCATTTTATGACCATCTCTTCCAAACTCAGACTGTAGCCAGTCACTGATCCCCAGCTGCACAGGTTACCACAGAAGCTCCTTTTGTTATTCCCTAACATATATCTTAACCCATTCGTCCCGGGTGTCACATATATGAGACACAGGGAAAAAATAAACAGTGTCAGGCTGCCCGCCAGTGCAATGCTGTCTCGGAGCCGCGCTCCGAGGCAGAAGCGGCGCGCGGCCGGGCGGGCGGACAGACTCCGGGGAAGCTCCGCCCGCCGATTTTGTAGCTGCCCGGATTTTTTAAATCTTGGCTACAAAATGTACCCGGCGTGAGTGGGTTAATAATCATAGGGGTTCAATCAAGCAACAGCACCCAAGTAGATGATATCGTAATTTCACCTACTAATAAACTTTACTTGGTAGCCTTAACCCCTTGGATCCAGGAGCTTGCCTACCTGCATGTGGCTCAAAATCTGGCCATTAGCCTTCTTGAGTGGCCGCTTTCATGGGTGTATGGCTTGTAGGTCAGGTGCAAACAAACAATCACGTGTATTTCCGCCAAAGCTTTTTTAGTTTTATTGCCATTTTCTAGTGTTTGTATTTATCATTTGATATGCTTTATCCAAATTATAATAGACTATTGTGTCTAATGTTTTTCTTACAGTCACCATATTATTTCTCAAGATAGTCCATAACTAAGTGCAATAATAATGACAGTAAGTAATATTTTGTTATTTGTGTCATTCTTCATTTTTTCATAATTTAAAATTTTCTGTAATAAAACCTGCCCCACTGGCCACAGCAGGAAGGGACAGAATCCTGAGCATGGAAGTAATTGTCTTTCCTGGAGCTGGCGCTCTTCCATTCATGGCTCACATATGGTATATTCCACACTTGTTGACTGATAAGAATAATGTAAGAACCCCTTCCCATATGCCCGCCGTCTAATCATCCTCCAAGAAGTTTGTGCACTCATGCAAAAGTTTTTTTCCATCACCCTCCTCAACCAAAATTTTGATGATGGGATTGAAGCCGATGAATGGAAAGAGCGCCCAGACTCCAAGTAGGTTGGTGTAATTTCAAAAGGGACCAAAATAATTTATCATAAACATACTCAATAGTTGATCATTCCCATGTCTCCATCTGGGGAATTCTGTCTCCAAGGGTCCCCTTTCCTGCTAATCCCTAGATTGGCTCAACGTTGTGCAATTCCTCATGTATCCTGTGCCGGCCAGAGGTCTTTATTAATATTGATACAGCCAATGAAAATTTTTTTTTTTATAAATTATTGTGAATTACTAAATGAAGTGAATAGGAATTGGAAGGTAACAAACATTATAAATTAATCAAGAATTATTTACTTACTGTCATATTATTCACTTAGTTATCGGACTATCTTGGAAGATATATTTATGGTACCTGTAAGATAAAACATTAGATCCACAGTTAGGTCTCAATAATGATATATAGCATATCAAATGTGAATAAATACCAAACACTAGGAATGTGTTTAAGGCAGGATAAACACTTAATATGAAAGCTTTTTTGTTGTCGAACATTACCAGGAAAAATTGTATCTCGTTTTATTTTGTTTTCTCTTGCAATGATTTAGTTGCATGAAGAATATTACCTGAACAAGCACAAAATACACCATCTAACTTGCTGATAGACAGCGAGGAAAACAGGACAATGGGCCAAACATTCGACAAGAGCATGGAAGAGAATTATAGGGGGCTATAGTGTGCGACCTAGATTTTGAGCCACATGCAGGGTAGGGTGAGCAAGCGTACCCAAGCGATGATGGAAGGCTTCCATAATCTGAGTGTGTGCTTTATAGGTGCTGCTACGAAGTAAAGGTTGATAGTTGGATGTATAAGGGTGATGTTTATAGGGACCTAAGCACCAAAACGAAATTATCTCTATCTAGCTACTTGAGGGGTGCTGTTTGCGCCAACTCGATAATGGATTGACCCCTTGTGTCATTGAGATTTATTCATACCCAAACCTGCACACACGGCACAGGAGACGGTACATTTTGTAGCCAAGATTTGAAACTATTAAAATCTCGGCATCAGGCTTTCGAGCTACAAAGTTCGGGTTGGCGGGAGGTCTGATCACCCTCACATGGAGACAGTCCGTCGCTGCCCGCTCCTCATTCCAGAGTGTTTGCTTTGCCCGCGCTACTGATTTACTTGAGTTCCTTGCTCGTGAGCACGAGCTCCAGAAGACAGCATTGCCTCAACTGTTCCTGAACAATGCGATACGAGATTTGTCACTTTTTTCTTCTTCTTTGATAAATATATATATCATATATTATATGTGTATAATCCAGTGTTATGCACGTACACAAAGAGAGATAAGGGAGATTAATGAAATATAGTCTAAAGTGGAGTAATGTGACCATCTAGATATTAACAAATAAGGCAGCTCTGTGGTA